TTGGAAAGGGTTTCCAATCCAAATCTTCATCTTTAATGGAACCACAAAATTGTTAAGGTGCGGAAGGAGGTCATTCAGCCCATTATGTTTGCACTGGTTCATTGAACATTCTAACATTAAACATTGAACTCCTGTTTTTTTTTTCCCCATAAGCCTGCACATTCCAATTAAATAATCATTCAATGTCCTCTTGAATGCTTCAAGTGAACCTGCCTCCATAAACTTCCAGGCAGTGCATTCCAAACCCAAACTTCCCATTGTGTCGCTATGTGAAAAAAAGTTATTTTCCTCACCTCATACTTGCTTTTCTACAAAACGCTTTTAAACTGTGCCTGAGATAGCAAGAACTGCAAATGCTGGAATCAGAGATAACACAGTGTCGAGCTGGAGGAACACAGCAGGTCAGGCAGCATTAGAGGAACAGGAAAGTTGACGTTTTAGGTTGGGACCCTTCTTCAGAAAACGAAGAAGGGTCCCGACCCAAAATGTCAGCTTTCCTGTTCCACTGATGCTGCCTGGCCTGCTGAGTCCCTCCAGATCCACACTTTGTTATATCTTAAAACTGTGCCTTCTAGTTTTGATCCTTTTACAAGCAGGGACATTTTCTCCTTATCCATTCTGTCCAGACACCTCATGATTTTGAAAACCTATCAAATCTCCCCTCAGCCTTCTCCCCTCCAACATCAACAGTCACAACTTCTCCAAAGTATCCTCCTATCCGAAGTTTCTCATTCCTGGAGCAATTCTTGAAACCTCTTCTGCACTCTCTAAAATGTATTTATATCTTTCTTATAATGTGGTACCCAGATGAGGTCTAGCCAGTGTTCTATCTAAGTTCAGCACAACTTCCCTAATCTTATACACTATGTCCCTATTAATGAAGTTTAGAATAGTTTATGCTTTATTAATAGATCTCTCTGCCTGACATGATTTGAGTTTGAATTGATTTATTATCAAATTTATTTGTTACAAATACAATGAAAAGTATTCATAGAAGAAGAAGAATCCCTGCAGTGTGCAAACAGGCCCTTTGGCCCAACAAGTCCACACCAACCCTAGGAGCATCCCACTCTGATCCATCCCTCCATAGCCCATCTAAGCTACACATCCCTGAATACTACGAGCAATTTAGCATGGCCAATCCACCTAGCCTGCACATCTTTGGACTATGGGAGGAAACCAGAGCACCCCAAGGAAACCCACATAGACACGGGGAGAATGTGCAAACTCCACACAGACAGTTGCCCGAGGGTGGAATGGAACCTGGGTCCCTGGTGCTGTGAGGCAGCAGTGTCTTGTTTAGTGTCACTACTCTCTGGCACCATCTAATTACTTATGTATACACACTGAGGACTCTCTGCTTCAGCATACCCTTTAGAAGAGTCTCTGTATGTTCTTTGTACCAAAATGTATCACCTCACACTTCTCTGCATTGAACTTCACCCGCCACCTGCCTGCCCACTCCACCAACTTAACAATGCCTATTTGAAATTGCACACTTCCTCTTCACAGGTTGCAGTTCTTTAAAGTTTTGGGCCATCCACTACACATCAAGGTCTAGATCATTTTCAGGAAAAGCAAGGGTCCCAATACCAACCCCTAGGGAATGCCAGTGCAAACCATCCTCCAGCTCAAAAAATACTCATTAACCATTATTCTCTTTTTTTTATCATTCAGCCAAATTAGTATCATGTTGTTACTTTCCTGTTTATTCCATGACTTATCATTTTCCTTACTAGTCTGTTGTGTGGGCATATATCAAAAGCCTCTTGGAACTCCATGTATAAAACATCAATAGCCTTGCCCTCATCATCTCTCTCTGTTACTTCAGCAAGTTATGATTTTTCCTCAACAAATCCATAGTAATTCTTCCGAATAAACCTGCATTTTTCATTTGACTTTTCTATCCTGAATGATTGTTTCTAAATGGTTCCCCATCACTGAAGTTAAGTTTTGGTGAAGGAGAACCCGGAGAAAAGGGGAAAGGGATTATAGAGATAAAAGCTAAGAAAGCAATGAATAAGTTCCCGCTCTTGACTGTGCCGGCACCTGAGAGGTAAGCAAGAGGAAAGAGAGATGGAGGTTGTAGAGGCAGACACCCTCTGCCAGTCTCACCATTTCCAGTGTTTCTGGTGCTCCCTTGACCCAAGATCAGCATCACTTCCTGTTCTAAGATAACAAGGTGTAGAGCTGGATGAACACAGCAGGCCAAGCAGCATCAGAGGAGCAGGAAAGCTGACATTTCCGGCCTAGGCCCTTCTTCAGAAATGGGGGAGGGGAAGGGGGTTCTGAAATAAATAGGGAGAGAGGGGGAGGCAGATAGAAGATGGATAGAGGAGAAGATAGGTGGAGAGGAGACAGACCGGTCAAAGAGGTGGGGATGGAGCCAGTAAAGGTGAGTGTAGGTGGGGAGGTAGGGAAGACATAGGTCAGTCCAGGGAGGATGGACAGGTCAAGGGGGCAGGATGAGGTTAGTAGGTAGGAGATGAGGCTTGAGGTGGGAGGAGGGGATAGGTGGGAGGAAGGACAGGTTAGGGAGGCGGGCACGAGCTGGGCTGGTTTTGGGATGCGGTAGGGGGAGGGGAGATTTTGAAGCTTGTGAAGTCCACATTGATACCATTGGGCTGCAGGGTTCCCAAGCGGAATATGAGTTGCTGTTCCTGCAACCTTCGGGTAGCATCGTTGTGGCACTGCAGGACGCCCAGGATGGACATGTCGTCTGCAGAATGGGAGGGGGAGTTGAAATGGTTGGCGACTGGGAGGTGCAGTTGTTTAGTGCGAACCGAGTGTAGGCATTCTGCAAAGCGGTCCCCAAGCCTCCGCTTGGTTTCCCCGATGTAGAGGAGGGTTAGTAAGTGGATAAGGGGTCTCTGTTCCCCTCCCCCAGGATTGGCTTCTCTTTTCTTTTTGTGACGTTTTTTCTCCCACGGAAAAAATAGTGTAAAACTGATCAACTTTATTATTGCTCATCAGCTATGCCGGGCTTCTTCGTCTGCACAGCATAGCCAAAGGGAGATTTAGCAATTTTCGAGGAAGACGAAGAAATATTTGTACAAGTGAGAGGCTGCAAAGGTGACAACTATCAAAAAAGGGTTGAAATGTTTGAGAGTTGGGAACCAAGATATATGTTTAATGCTCTGTGATTTGTTTCATTGTGAACATGATTTACTACTTTGTACCTTTTAAGTTGCTCCAGTCCTGTGTAACACATAAATGTTTCACTGATTTCACTCAACAGTGAGGTAAGAAGAAATCATTTCACTTCTGAGAGTTATCAGTGAATTTGTCTTGGAATGTGTTATTAACCTTCTTTAACATGTGTTTCAAGTCTGATTCTGGCAGACCAGCATCTGTTGATCAGTTCCTGACAATTGTACATTTAAATTCAGTATCCTTACTCTAACAGTAGAATGGTAGACTCATGAAAAGTTAACACAGTGAATAAGAGAAAAGATTTAGTCATGTAAACTTGGAGATTCAACTTAGGGCATGATGTGATTGAAACAAATGTGATATAAAATCAGCTTTTTGTTTGCTGCCTTTGAGAGTTTCTCAGTAAAATGAGTCTGGACATTCTTCAGCCTGTTGGTGAACAGTATTACATTTGATCTTCTACCTCAATTTTATAGATCAACTGAACTGCTTATCCACTATCTCACAATTGTTCATTTGTTGATGGCTCTGCGTGTTTACTTGATTGCAATATTAAAGACACTTTCTGCTCCTGTACTTTGTTTCTTCTGCATGATGTGGAGGTGCCGGTGTTGGACTGGGATGGACAGTCAGAAATCACATGACCCCAGGTTATATTCTGAACAAAGCCTCACGCCTACGATTCAGTGTCCGCCTGAGATGGCACCTTTGTATATTCCTATGGCTTTGCCTGATTGTCATGACAGCACAGCACTGACATTGACTTTATAAACACTTTACCCACTATCTAACACTCTTGGTCACCTGCAGAGACTTATCATCTGACACTCCACTCACACCAGTTGAATGATCTTTTGATCTCTCTGCCTATAAGCTCTGTGTCTGTGCCCAGCTCTCTTACTACACCCGACAAAGGGGCTGTGCTCCAAAAGCTTGGGTGATTCTGAATAAATCTGTTGGACTGGAGTCATGTGACTTCTGACTTCCTTCTGCGCAACAACATTGCGGGAGCACCTTCACCACATGGACTAAAGGACCACCTTTTCAAGGACAACTGGTGATGAATAATACACTTTGCCTTGCTAGTGACACCCATAGAGAACTAATTGGTAAGAAATTATCTAGAGGTTTAGTTCTGCTGTTTTAACACTTTAAAGGCAATATTCTTTAAAAGTCTTTTGAATTATTTGAAACAATTTTTAAAAATAATATCAAGCCACAGTCCTTTGGTTTACATGATCAACATTCTACCAAGTGGATTTTAGATTTGGAGGCTCCCAGATTTAGTTGTAGCTCTGTGCTGCGTTAGCTGTGGCAGTAAAAAGAATATTTATTTAGTTTCAGTGTCCCTGGCTGAAGGGGGTGGAACATCAATTCCTGCTGTGAATTAGATTCAATGCTTTCTTCTGCATTGGTTCATTATCAAACAGTGGAAGGCATATCAATGTGAATTTTGGGTATGGACAAAATTGAATTTAGCAATGATGTAATGCTCACTAATGTAATATTAAACCAGACGGACCAGATTAGATTTGATTTGATTTATTTTTGTCACATGTACCAAGATACAGTGAAAAGGATTGTTTTGCGTGCTAACCAGACAAACTACCTTACATAAGTGCATCAGGGTAATAGAACAGAATGCAGAATATTATCTGTGCTGAGTTTTCTGATCTCAGCAAGCATGGTTATTCAGTCTGATGATTGGCTTCCCAAAGATAGTGAGGGAAAAATCATTCAAGTTTCCTGCATTATAATTTCTAACTAGTGACCTGCTGCTAATGTTTAGACATTAGATGAAGACATCGGCAAGTGTGATTATGACAAAACCACAGTAGAATTATTACCTGAGGGTTACCGTCTTCACTGGACAGAAAGGTCAATCATGGTGTAAAATAGGTAGCCCATCTGCTCATTTCGCTCCACTGACATTTATCAAGTTCATCCTGTAGTGTTGAAATGTTGGAGGTTTAAAAACCACATAGTGATACGTAAATATCCAGTCATGGAGTCATTGAGTAATACAGCATGGAATCAGGCCCTTTGGTCTAACCTGGTCCATGCTGACCATGGTGCCCGTTCAGCTAGTTCCAATTGCCTGCATTTGGTCCATATCCCTCTAAACTGTTGCCATCCATGTACATACACAAATATTTTTTAAATGTTGCTATTGTACCTGCCTCAACCACTTTCTCTGGCAGCCCATTCCGCATAAGCACCACTCTCTGTGTGACAAAGTTGTCAGGTCCTTCTTAAATTTTTCTCCTCTCACCTTAAACCTATGCCCTCCAGTTTTCAATTCCCCATTCCTGGGCAAAAGCCTATATACATTTACCCTATCAATGCCCCTCATGACTTTATACACTTCAATAAGGTCACCCCCTCATTCTCCTACGTTCCAAGGAATAAAGTCCTATCCTGGCTTTATCCACCTTTTGTAATATAAGCACGCACGTGTAGTTAAGCAAGAGATGTAAGGTTTTCTAGGTGTTTTGTACATGACTGTAGCCAGGGTCTAACAAATTGTCAGTAATGAAACACTTTATATTTTGTTTATTGGCCTTAACTATGTCATATATGGAAATGTTTGGTACAATACCAACAACTTATGTGCATATAGCAGCTCTAATGTATAAAATCTCCAAAGAGGGTCATACAGATGAGGAGCTATTGGTGATGAGTTGTCCTTTGCTCTTGCCCCTCATGAGAAATGGAAGCTGGAGCTGCATTTGTCTGGCAGCAGAGTAGTGCAGCTGTAGGTGAGTGAAATACTTGACCACAGAAATGCCAAACATGAAATTGACAATCATAGAATCCCTAAGTGTGGAAACAGGCCATTCAGGCCATCCAGTCCACAACCACCCTCCGAAGAGCATCCCACCCAGACCCATCCCATTCCTGTAACCCTGCATTTCCCATCACTAATCCACCTAATCTGCACATCCCTTGGACACAATGGGCAATTTAACATGGCCCATCTACCTAACCTGCACATCTTTGGATTGTGGGAGGAAACTGGAACACCCAGAGGAAACCCACGTAGACATAGGGAGAATGCACAAACTCCACACAGCCAATTGCCCAAGGCTGGAATCAAACCCGGGTCCCTGGCACTACAAGGCAGCAGGCTAACCACTAAGTCACCGTGCCACCCTTTGAAATTACCTTGTGATCACCTTGGTAGGAGATGTGCTTTGAACAGCAGTCTTTCACCTGATGTTGGCAAGAGTTCCTCTATGTAACTGATCAAACCCTTCCCAAGTTTTCAACTTCACTGAAAAGAAGCTCTTTGTACCACACACTCACCCTAGTGACCCTGGAGAGCTGGTGACAGGTTAGAAAACAGGTCTTCTGGCTGGGAGGGTTAAAACTAGTTCTTAATTGATTTCTAACAGCCATAATTCGTTGTCCAACAGTTCCAGGATTACTTTCTGTTTACTTTCAATACCACACTGACACAAGCTGGAAGAGGATGGCATGATATCAAGATCTGAAGATAGTGTTGATTTCACAGGATTTAGCATTTCCACATTAGGAAACCCAACTACACCTTATCGGGTAAAGACCTCACCAATATTTCAGGTTAATGTCACTTCAGCACAACCGTGAGAAGTTAGAGACGGTCCTAAGTAAGTATTGCGGCAGGGGGTAAGTGGGAAGAGGGACATTTAAAAACAGAGAGAGGAAGTGATTAAATGACAAGCAAAAAGCAGGCAGTAATGAGATGAGTAAAGATACAGAATATGCACATCTATGGATTTCTATTTTGATTTGGTTGTAATTTTGAAATGTTTTCTCTTCCACATTAGCATGCAGTTGATTGACAGGGAACTTCACATCCATGAAAGTGCACTTCCAGGGATCTTAAAAGTTGGATAAAGGAAAGGTGGTAGAAGGGTGGGGAGAGAGTTTGCACTTCAGCCAGAAATAGTAACTGTGTTTTAACAGTAAGACTTTAGATGGACTCAGTGTCTCTATTCGCCTTCTAAGATTCAGGTTCTAGGTCACGGCTGTTTACAACAGAGACATCGCTCTGGCACAGTACAATAAGCCAAGTGTCTCTATACAGCAGGAAATGTGGTGGTGATGACACAGGGGTGTCAAATTCACCACATCAGCCTGTTTACTATCTAATGACAGAACACATGACACTTAAGCACATTTGTCTGAAGTGTGTACAGTGGATTATGCCATCAGAAGGGGGAAATTAACTTCATACAACAAATCCAAGTTTTGGCCAGGAGAGAGACCCAGCTTTGAATGACTTTTGGGTAGATCTCCCTGACTGTACTTTATACTACCTTTTGGGTTATTTTTGTCATCCTAATACGCTTTCTGAAACAATCAACTGTGATCCAGTTTGATCAAAGTAATCAGGGTTTTGTCAAACCTGCTGGTTTAGTCCAATTTTATCAGTATCATTCACAATAAGTCTCTCAGAGTGGATGTATGACCACACCTTAGTCGGAGTCAGGGAGACTACCTTCAAATGAGGTGACTAACAGCAAGCACCCACACAAAATAAGTACTAAACATTTCAAGACAAAAAAAATTAAAGTAACATGATCTCGTGTTGTCAATAAATGTTGTGGTGAGGAGGTTAGACACAATTCTCCTTCACAAACCGGCCTGAAACCGACAAAGTTGCACTGGAGAACATGGACAAATTCTGGCAGTGCTGACCTATTGCTGGTTTTGATGATGCTGGCTGCCTCCTCCCTGCCTGCTGCAGGCAAATGGCACCGGGAGCGCAGTGTCTGCATCTCTTGCCAACTTCCCACTTACTGTCACTGCCCATCACAAGGCCACTGCTGGGTGAAAACACTAGGCGCTGGGAAGTGGCTGTAAAGAGTGTGAAGCTCTGCCCAGGGAGGGAGTGGTCCTTTTTGTGATTATACCTTTGAAAAATGCCTCAGGATGTTTTTCTCCAATATAGGAACTATTCAAGTTGTTTGTTGTAGCAACCTTTTCTCTCACTCCTGTCTGGCCCTGAAACAATGGTGGCCCGTCTTGGTTGTGGTGTTTCACAATGCTATAAGTCTAAAGATCAGTGTGCTATATCTTTTCATGTCCCTCAATAACTCTTCTGCCCCCTAATTCCCCTTTAGCACTGCCAGACACAGTTTTGCTGTTGGCTGCTGTGCATAAGGGAAAGGGGCAGATCTCGTGGAGTGAAGAGAGCTAAAGGGGAGAATTTGGATTGTTTTACCAGACAAAACAAGTGAGAGGAGGATCTGCTAAATTCAAAGCGATGGCAACACGCATTCTACTTAATCCTAGGTCATTCACTCAGAACATTTGAATATGCTGGCTCAGTGCCTATTATCAATTGTAATATTTTTACACTTGTCACTGTAAGGAGCTTTGATTGTTGCCAAGAGATTATAGTTTGAATGACAGGACACGCAGCACCTACAGGAAAATTAGTCTAGATTTCCCCACAGGGCACAAACACCACCAAAAACAGCAACAAAAACAAAGTTGCTGGAAAAGGTCAGTAGGTCTGGCAGCATCTGTGAAGGAGAAAACAGAGTTAATGTTTCGGGTACAGTGACCCTTCCTCAGAACTGAAGCAATCAACTGACAACTCAGAACCCTTCTGAGGAAGGGCCACCAGACCTGAAAAGTTAACTCTGTTTTTTCCTTCATAGATGCTGCCAGACCTGCTGACCTTTTCCAGCAACTTTGTTTTTGTTCCTGATTTACAGCATCCACAGTTCTTTTGGTTTTTACCAAAAACAGCAAGCTGGGAATGATGACAACACTATGTCACAAAGAAAACTGCTGCAGTAGGGTTACCAATTCTCTAGGATTGACCTTGACTCTCCAAAAAGTAAAGGCAATCTCCAGGGCACTGCTGTGATCAACACTAGGGATAAATCATCAGGACACTCAAAACAATTAAAGTCTTTTGCTATTTCCTTTGCATGTTACTTTTTAACAGGTATCAAAATATTGAAAATAGGACAAAAATGTTGTTTAACAGACAGTCAAACACTCTCCAACTGGGTTCCAAGTCTATTTGCTTTTCAATTGTTGTCAGAGGGCAGTATGTCACAAGGGTGAACATATAGCCAGCCAATGGCTGAAGCGTGGGGCAAGTCAGCTGATGAAATGTCCAGGAATAAATTTAACAACACCTTGCTCCAGTCATTTTCAGAGGCAGGCTCATGTGACTAATTAAAGGAAGTCGTGTCATTGGAAATATTTGGAAGCTTGCCAGGTGAAAATAGAATGTGACTAAAGGACAGGCCTTGCTGGCGCTATCAAGATGCAGACTTAATATTATCCAAATGTCGGGGAGGTACTGAATAACCCCTCAACCTGCCATGCCCCAACTGCTTTACAGACCCCAATTTACCAATGCTACTATGGAAAATTTTGTGAAGGGTTAAATGGACAATCACATTGAGAATTATTTAGGATTTCTGAGAGGTAGTGCCTACAGTAATGTCACTGCAGATAGTCCACACACAGTCATTCGATATTAATGTTTAATGTCCTTACTATGTCAGACAAGGCAAAATAAGCCAACTGCACCATCTAATTATGTACTATATAAAGCATGTCTGTCACAACCACCTCGCCATCACGCTATGTTAAGATGCTCATCTATCATCAATGAGTACAGTGGTGCCTGTTATATCACCAGCAAATGTATCTTCATTCACATCTAGATATTTTTAAACAGCCTGTTTCAACAAGTTATGATACTCCTAGAGATGGGATTTGAAACAAGCCTTCTGGTTCAAAGGCAGGGGTAATACCACGGTACCACAAGAAACCTTACCCTGACATCTATTTACCCCACATGGAATCCAACAGTTTTTATTTTCATGAGCCATTCCATTCATTATGGATTGGACACCGACCCTTGGGCTTAGTCAAAGCCACAGAAGATGATTCTCATCCTTTATCCAGGAGAGATAAATAAAAACTGGTCAGG